ATTGCTTAAAATGAAACATTAGGACTGAAACATTAAGAGTATCATATTATATTTGTGTATCATAAGTACATGTAGAGCTAGAGGAGGGGTTTTCTCTTTAAATCTAGTATTTAGCCTATATTCACTTTTGACCTATTTGTGTATCAATGTGTATGGTAGTTAGTAAGTACATGTATGACAAATATTTATCAGCTATGTTAGAGAATGTACAGGTGTTCAGCACAGAGTGGATTTAATTAATAATAATATGTGTAAGTTTTCTTTTATGACAGATTTCATTTAAAGGGTACGTTTAGCTTATATTACATGTAATGTTCATATTTCTGTTAAAAACTTTAGACTTTTCCACAGTCTTGTTTTATTTGCTTCAAGGTTTATAAAAAAAATCAAAATGACTTGACAGATTTGATGTACATAATGGTAGTCGGGTCACAACCCCTAGATCCGTGACCATTTCTCGGGGAACAAGGTTTGATGATAGTTTCTGATAGAAGGGACACTAGTGAAGATATCTGTAGTTTGCTACCTCTGAAATCTACAGGCTAACTCCAGTCGTTAAATTCTTAATTTTTGTATGCTATCTCCATTCCAATTAGTTCTATCAACTTGGAAATGCCATAATCATGTTTCTCGTCGTCGACAACCCCTGAAACGACCTATCACACTTGTATGTTGCTATTGGTATTAACAGAATACTTTCGAACCAATTTCTGTCATCATTTTGGATTTTGGTGGCCATATTGGAGCAACTGTTTGTGAGAAGAATCGGAAACTGTCCAACAAAACCTGTAAAATGGTATATTACACAGGTCATTTCGCCAACAATGTTTGCCAAGGTCAATTTCAGACCATATTTGGCCACAATCTTGGATTTTCGACTCTCCTGGAGTTAGCCCGTAGTTTTCAGAGGTAGCAAACTAAAAATATCTTCATTAGGGTCCCTTCTATCATCAAACCTTGTTCCCTGAGAAATGGTCACGGATCTGGGGGTTGTGACCCAACTAACATACAATGTATAGGTGAAAGACTTGGCTTGTTTTAATAGTGATTTATGTTTTCTTTGATAAAGGATTAAGGCTAATATTAATATTATGAACTTTCTAATGTTTTGTAATTTGATTAAATTTTAAACTTACAGGTAATAATAATCAAATTAATTTGACATACTGGTAGTTGACTAAAAAAAAAAAGTTTTTTAAAATTGAGTTTCGGTTATTATTGTATTAAGTTAGAATTAATCCATTTGATTAATATTGGGATTAAATGTTGTTCAATAAAACTGCTTTTGATAATGTTTGCTATAAACTTTATTAAACTGTTATTCTGGCATGTTGGGGATTTAATTCAGATCAATCAAGAGCAAAGAAGGGAGATAATTCTAATTTTACTATACATGTATATCACATGCGATTGTAATAACAACAAAAACAACGAAAATATTAAAATAATGTATTTAATCTTAAAGTTTAGTTTTTTACAATAATATATATAAAAAATGTGCCTGTTTTTAAGCAGAGGGGGAAAATAGTTGTTGTATTGACGTTGTGTATTCATTCATTCGTCTGCTAATGCCAGACTACGGCAAATTCAGTCATGTGAAAGTGACCGTAACTTGCCGTCAGAAGGTAAATATACCGATAATCGATATTTGAATTTCAATATGGATAATCGTATCGCTAAATAACTTCTACCGATTATCGATTATATCGATATTTTTGCACAGCCTTAGTTGGAATTAAGCACAACTAGTAACGTCTTGCATACCAAATTCTGAATACTACCGGTACTAATTCTTCCAAATATTTTATCACTGATATTTTTGAATACTGAAACTTTCAAACGTTAATGAACCTGTCTTCATTAGCCCAGGTTAGGAGCAGAACAGTAGGACGTTAAACCCCATTTCATTTCATTTCACGTTAATGAAATGAGGCCAAACCAATGAGCGTATATATAAAACTTTTTAACAGACAAAGATATACAACCAATCTGATTAAAACACAGATCTACTATTTCATTTTTTATAATCTTTAAGATTATAGTTCAAAATTTCGTTTTACTTGTCTTTACTACACTAGGATCTAGAAGAGTTGTTATATTACTGCTGTTTTGTTTGAAGGGAGAGATAAGCCAATGAAACAGTCTGTTACGGCAACTTCTTGGCGTGCCATGCACGAAACTGTGGGTAAACCACTAGACACGCCAACGCTAATTGATTAATCAATGTCTGATGTCATAGGGTCAAAAGCCGCTCGTACTACCCCTGACACGACCTTTGAGTACAACTTGTCAGATCTTCATGTACTGTAGTGTAGGCCATCGAAAGTATAAAAAAACGAAACGAAATATAGATCTGTATTTTAATCAGATTGATATACAACACAATTAATATTGTAAGTCTTATTACTAGTAATACTACATTATGATGATAAACTTGCCCTTTTATAATACGCATGAATCTGTCATATCACACATAATAGCCTATGGGATCTTAAAACAAAGGATTGATTGATTGATTCAATTTTAAGTTTATTTAGTTTTTTGTTCCTTCTGAAAAGTTGAAAAATAAATGTGCATATTAGCCATTTTGGAACTATATCATCTGAGATTTCTTTTCATCAGTTAAGGAGAGTATATTGTCCTATTATTTGACCTTACGGGCAATTTTTGTGATAAATTATATGAAGAAAAAATTATTATGATAGATAAGTGCATGTGACTGACAACCTCTTACATATTAATATGTACATTACATACATGTACACCAATTTCATTATTTGTTAATAAATCATAGTTATAAATGTCAGGTATAAATAAGGTGTTACAAACATTGCTACAGGATATATAGTTGTTAAAATTTATGACTGGGTTGATATGTTCCTGTATACATCTGGATCTAAACTTTACTGTGAACATTTACTGTTTCTAACATTTTTACAGGAATATTAAGGATTGAATTTGGTTTTATTTGTATATATCAAGTAAACTTGGATAACATAATGTTGGTATAACTTTTTATTGTTTTAAGGACATTTTTTGAAACCAGTTAATCTCTGCACGGATCAAGCCAGTCACATATTTTGCAAAGTTCACAGTTGTCTCCATTTTAAGTTCATATTGGAAGATTTGAATGATATAAGGATAACTGAATGTGATTCAACCTGAACTACTTTTAATATAACCTTTTAGTAATAATAATAGTAATCAGTGTAGTGTATCTTTTAGTAATTGAATTACTTTGAACTGACACATGGATAACCATTGAAGTTTCTACACACACATTTTCAATAGAAGGTTTGATCTCGCTTTAACTCTGTACATCTTATCAAACCCTGCATATATTGGCACTAATTTGGATTGGCTACTGACCCAGCTGAGGGCCTATCAGATTCCTTGATCATCGCGAATACTAAGTCTTGCGCTTTCCAGCTAAATATCTACCTGTGATAATCAAGTTGCAGTGTAATATCTGTTCAATGTCAAGGTTTCAGTAGAGGTTGCCATGTTTGACTTGAGTGTGTTTGCGTCACAACCTCCGATTGGACACAAATCTTCATGTGTCTGTGTTAAAGGGAGATAACATAGCAACATCCAGATGGTGTAAAACTTGCAGTTGTTGCTTCAGGAACATGCTACGAACACTGTTGGAAGTGAACAATATGCTAAATATTGAATAACTATAAAATTCCCAATTAAATTCAAACATCCTTTTTTTGCAGTGAAACAATGATTTTCTATGTGATGTGTTTTGACATTGTTAAATATGCCCAGGTTAGACAAAATACAAGAGAAAGTGCCAAGCCATTGCTGCGATATGCATTTTAAGTGCAAACAATTGTTCCCATTTTACAATAGATTCAGAAAATTTACTCCGATTTATGAAATTTATAACACATAGGTAATTGTACACATGTATATAATTATATTGTAATTATACTTAAACACACCTGCCTCGTAGAAAATCATTATAAGAACTAAATACATTTATCTTTACTATTGTTAAATAAGTTAATGACTTGTTTACCTGTTTTCCTTTCTTTGTTAAAAACAACAAGAGTTAAAGTTAAGGTCAGTTTTTATTCAAATTTAAACCATTCATAAAATGACTTAATGGCACTTTCACAGACTCAGAATATGAAAATAAATGGATAGTTACAATCTGATATTAAGGCCTTTAACTACCACATCATTGGAAGTAATAAAAGCCATTTATAGGTGCTTGTTGTAAGTATTGTATATTTTCTTGTACACTACAATGTAAGCACAGTTATTTTTATAAAATACATAAAACTGTTGACTTCTGTGTTTTAGTATACATGTAGTTGTATTTGAAAATATTCTTAGGTTGAACAGATGTGTAAAGTCATTATTCATAGTGAAAACAGCATGGAGTGTTGTATGTTGACAATGTGAGAAATATCTTATTAAATGACCACAGCTGATGTTAGTTTGTGATGACTGTCCTAACACAATGGTGAATTTGGCCATACAGGCTATTGGAATTACATTAGACTATATGCAGTCCCTATGTATATTATGATTACTTTGTTGTGTTTTTAAGTTTTTACTTTATCATACTATAGCAAGGACTGTACCTTTTACACCATGGTTGGTTTATTAGTCAAAGTTATAATTTTGTATTTATGACAGAAGTCTGGTCTTTTTTTTTCTAATGCACATACTTTGGAAAATAGTCTCTTTTACTTGCCTGAAATGGCAATCACATCAATATGTGATGTGTTTGAGATGTCAATCATTGTAGAATATTCCACTAAAGATTTGATTTCTGCTTTCAGTCCAGTCTAGGATTACATTCATCAGTTTTAAAGCCTTCATCATACATATGCATGTGTTCATTGCTTTATTTTATCAGGATTTTCAATGTTTGTGAGGAATACTGTAATGGTTGTTCTTATCCTTATTGATAAGTATCTGTTTGAAAATATATTCCGAACATGAAACTAGGAATAATATGATGTATCATTTTGTATATTTTTCAGAAGATGGATTTTTATGTCAAGAAGAATATTTCAAGGCTATGTTAATATGTTTGAAATCAGTCGAATTAAACAAAGTTGCCTTATTAACAGATATATCACCTAATTTGGTATGTTGTATATTTATTTTCATAATTTTTGGTTTTGGATATGATGAGTGGGAACTGCTTGATAAAACATTTATCTGAATTGACTATAGGCCTGTAGATCATATAATGTTTAGGACTTGACAGATTTGTTAGTAAAAGTCAAATCAACACTCAAAGGTAAAGGAAAGCGTACAAATCAAAATTAAAATCTTCTACAGTACCCAATAATTAATGGTCTAGAAAATTATTTCAAAGATTTTAATTTAGGGGAAGCAACAAATGAGTAACAAATTGTAATGAATTGTTACTTTGGACATTGTCTCCCTTTTATATCTCCTATTTTCCTGTCAATATTACTGTTTCCTCCCACTGCTGTATGATTGAATGTATTTTGTATTTTTAAAGCAAAATACAGATTACTATGTTTGAAAATGATATGAATCTAAATTAATTATGTAAATATTTTATTTACTGTCATATTTTATAACATTTTAGCTATCATTTAGTCAACCCAAGAAAAAAAGTCACATTCGAAGTGCTTCCCTACCTACTAATCATATTCAAGGTCACATAAATCTGGAGGAAGAAAACAAAATGCTTGATCATGCTGGTCTTATGGCGCTGGCGCCACCATTTGCATCCCCTCCAAAAGAAAGTATATTAAGATTGTCTGGAGAATATGCCTTGCCAACAGTTGTATCATTGTGTAAGTTATTCCATATTGAATATATGATATATTTCTATTTTATAATATTTAAACTTGCATCAGTTTTTAGGTCAAGCATTTAAAATTTACAATAAATTTTGGAATTATAAATCACTATGTTTGACAGTATTAAAGCTTGCCCCAAAGACTTTAGTATATAGGACCTTGTACTTAGACATGTGATAAGGCAGACATTTTAAATATAAAATAAGCAATTGAAAGTTAACAGCAGTGATTTAAACATTCAAAAAGACTTCATGGAATTTCTTTCTTTGAAAAGATCCCCCTTCCCCCCCCCCCCCCAAAAAAAAAAAAATAAATAAAAGGAAAATAAATAAAATAAAAAATGGATGCCCAGGTACATCGCCCCTTCTATCTCTCTGGCTGTCTTAAAATTCTTAAAGAAAGTTCTTTATTAATGTAATTATCATCAAGTCAGTTTTGTTTAACTTTCAGCTTCCAGTCCAGAAGAGGCTAGAGAAACAGCAAAAACAGCGTTAAGAACTGTTTTGAGGAAATCAGGTGGAGATTCGCCCACATGTACATCACCCTCATCATTTAGTTTTTACGATAAACAATATAGTGACCCGTTATTAAGTATAGAATTTCCACCTACACCAAAATATATAGATGATTCTGTTTTTACGTATAATAGTAATATCAACCATCAGGACTCATCAGTGCTACCCGCTAAACGTCGTTTTTCAGAAGATTTCAAACAACGAACCTGTTCCTCAGAAACTGTTGAAAGCTTTCTTACTAAGTCGGTGCTAGATAACAAAAATGTTCTTGCGACACCAGTGAATAACTTAAATAATTCAGGAAAATTTTCCAGACCATCATCCCTAAAATCATCTCATAAAAGGTCAAGGTCAGATTTGAGCGGTATTGACATGAAAAGTCATTCAGTCGTTTCATTGGTAGATAATTCTGATCAGGAAAACCAATCAGATTCAACATTAGTAGATTCTTCAGGCCTTGTGAAATCAAATCAGCCGATTTATGCAGGTAATTTCTGTACTTGAATACTCAATATTTGGCTAACTCTGGCTAAATCATATCTTGCATATCCATTATTTTAGACATGTAAAACAATTGTCCATTTCTTGACAATTGGCACTATTTTTGTTCCATCAAAGAGAAAGCATCAGAAACACAGGGAATTTACTGTTTTTAGTAATTTTGAATAGCTTTTTTTAAAAAATAAATTTAAAATGTATGCATCACTCGGCTACAAACTTTAAATGCAGAATTTAAATTAATGGATGGTTTTGTTTTGATTTGTCTCATTTAGTCATAGTGGGTCACATTATATAAATATCAGAGTCTATCCAACATACATATTAGCATTACCCTTGTCCACACTTCACTGAACACAAGTGAAGTTTTTCTGTTCTGGTTAGAAAACTTTTATGGACAGATTCTGAAATTGCTTGACTATAAGAGTAAATACTATAATTAGCATTCTATACTTAATATTGATTTGTTACTCTTTGTGGACATTTGAATTTGAAGTTTTAGCTCAATACATAAGTATGTATAATATGCAGTGTATGCTATTCTGTGGATCCATACATGAACTTGATAACCCATATGAAACTGCAAAGCTTGAATACTCCAATACCTAACATTATCAGATACTATTTAAATATTTGAATTTGTTAAAATTGAACTATGATATACTATAGTATCAGTATTTTATTTGTGATAGAACTTATTTTTGTCCATGATTGACTGTTTTTAATTCTTTAAATTTATCTGGTAGTATACGTTTATTCAACCTCAAACAATCTTTAAAATTTTCAAATTTGTTTCAAATTACTTATATTTAGATATACAATGTACATGTAACATTGACTATTTTATGCTGAGTGTTCAGAAAAGTGTAACAACTGTCAAATGTAACAGCTTGAATGTCATCGTTAATATCTGTGTAATATATTCATAGAGACCATCAATAATTCCTGTTAATCAATAATATTACAATTCTGACTTTATTATTGTATTTCAAATTTATTAAATTCAGTAATATTCAAGTTTGAATAAATAACATGAATTATGGAGGATTTATGGAAAGGTTTGTTTTAAGAAATGCATACTAGGTATTGCTATTTAAAAAAAGTATTTGAGCTGCTGATGGCTAATGTTTTATCTGATATATTTTGTAGGTAGAGTAGATGGCAGATTACAGCCACCAGCTCAGGGACAGTCATTGATGAGTTATCTTTCTTCACAAGATTTTCATACGTGTGCCAATTTAGATAAGGTAAATTAATATTGTTTTCTTGTTGAACAGGTGTGTCTAGTTGTTAGGATGAGATGAAAATTTAAGGTCTTGTATAAACAAATGAGAGTGTACAAAATGATCTCATCACAGTTGGAATTTGAGTAAGATATGCCTATCAACCATAGTCCCAACCCCAGGGCTTCCACTTCAAAATTTTCACTGCCAGTCATTTTTGATAACGCACGAAAACTTTTCAAAGTAAATTTATATTTCATGTTTTTTATTCATGGTAGGGTATTGTGAATTCACGTGTCTATACTACTTTGTCACCATGGGGTGCACAAAAAAAATATATTTGACTTAAAAATGAAATATTAGTAAGGCTCATGATAATTATTTAATAATTAAATATTCCGTTTTGGCTACTTAAATAACGAAATAGTTGAATTGGCCGGAGAAAAACCATTTCAGTAGCTCACACGTAATTAACACGTGCTCTATAGAAAACACACTGACCTGGATAATTTTGAGTTGTAATACAATAACTTTGAAATGAAGATAAATATATAATTATCCATGGCATATATCTCACATTTTTGGGGTTTTAGACCATCTATTACGGGCCGCAGAATTGTGACGTAAATCCTAATAATGTATAACTAAATGACTAACGGATAACTAACTTCACGGCTAGCGACACTAGCACCCCCTAGAATATGGTCGTGTATAAGAGTAACCGTATATACGCGACATTTCTTCTACACGTGGAATTATCAATATTGCTGCACAATAGAACTGGAATACGTATTTTTCTTAATTGTTCGGTAAGCAAGATAACTAATCTCTAGATTTTATTTCAACAATTTCCACAAGGCCGTAATACCGCTATAAACATTTTATTTTTAAATGCATTTTTCTTCCAACGCGTACGTTGTTGAGGATTTGCGTAATTTCTATGCTGTTTTTATTTGATATGACAGTTGGTTGGATTCGAAGAGCAATACTTCATATCAATTGCCCTTTTTCGAAGATCATAATAATCTCGTTTACATTGTGTCTGACCATAATAGCGGCAAACGGCTTTGTTGTTGAAAATTCTTATGACACGTGGACAATACGTGAATAATTAACAATGGGCAGCTTCACGCCGGTGATTAGATTCCCACTTATCAATTAACATTTATTGCTCTACTACCAGACACTCATCATTAATTATCAACACAACACTCAGTATAATCTGTTGACGACTATATATACAACTCTATAACACCAATCACGAGATTGGCTTCTAGATGACGTGCATTCTTGTATAGTTACACAGTGAAGGTCGATAGTAGTCATGTTTGAAATTTTTTTTTTTTTTAAAAAAGACCCTCTTTCCGGGCGTGCAAAATGACCGTTAGGTCAGATCTAGGAACGGTCATTTTCCATAGCCGTAGGTCTCGACCGGCATATACAGCCGACGTGGAACCCATGCCAAACCCCCACCCAACAAAAAAGTAATTTGATACTAGTCCCCAAATTCCATTTTTGATATCAAAATTTTCTCTTATATCAAAGAATTTTCAATGATCGTCTGAGAATAATTGATGTATTGTATATATCACACAGGAAAATGCTCACTTTAGTATATCAGAAGCTTTAATAGCTGCTATAGAACAGATGAAATGGAATCATGTTATACGGCCATCAAAAGATTCTGATATAGAAGAAGAATCGGATGAAGAGATACAACAATTACGACAAAGAATCAGAATACGTCGTAGAGAGAGACTGTCAGAGGTTATTTGATGTTTGATTCAATCTACTGTGGCCCTTCTTTTTTCTTAAGATGAAAAATTACCATTTTTTTTTTTATTTAAATGTTGATTGAATGATACAATTTTACTTCCATCTATCTCATGGTATGATCGGAAAGATGAGATTGAAAAAATTGACAAATCTGTTTTCCTTATGTAAATTTAAATTTGATTGTTATATTTCAATTATTTCATCTTACTATATTGTCATATTATATTGATTTCAGAAAGCTCGAGGTTTTCCTGCTTTTAGCGATGGTCGCACAGACAGTAAGATCTTTTTATCATTATTTCATGTCAGTCTGTACTATTAAAGATTTTTCTCATAGTTTAAATATTTTATATGTTTCATTATCAGAATTGAAATTTTTAAAGAAGGATCATAACAATTCAGTACATGTTGTTCATGTGATTATGATATGAAGTATACCAGAGAATGAAAGTCTTCAGCCCAAACTTTTAATTGATTATTTTATTTCTAAATGTTGTTTATTTGTTTTGTTTATTTTTGTTTTCTATTTGTTTATTTATTTATCAGCAACACCAAGTGCCAGTACATCACCATTTAGTTCACCTTATGAATATTCTAGTCATTCAGGTGTGTTTTATTTTTATTGCTGTGTATGTTTAACAAGTGGTTGTCTGCATGAATGTACCCAATTTCTGCATAACATCTATATCTATGTTAATGTTTGATCCTGTTGTTAACATTGTTGTTACCACATTGAGTTTACAATTTTACCAATTGTATCTTTAGGCTATTTAAATAGGATTTTCACTTTTCTAAGAGAAGGATGTGTTGCTTCTCAATGATTTCATTGAATGACTTACTATGTGTACTTCAACATGATTTGTATTTTTTTATTACAAAATATCAAATCATGCTGTATCCTACTTAAAATAGATACATTTCTGGTTTCATTCAAAATATTTTATATTGTAACTAGGGGAAAAAAATTGACATGTGGTAATTAATAAGAATATTTTATTTTTTATTTTTTTAAAATAAAAACAGGACTGTGACTCTTTTTAAGTGATACTAGAGTATCAGGACCTGAATATTTTTTTTTATTTGGCCGAATATAAGTGTTATATATATATATATTTGATTATACATATTGTTTTGTATTTGTAACAGATAGTTCCGATTCAGGGGATGATATTGATGATGAAGAAATTGAATTATCAAGTGAGAATTTTTTTATTTTATAGAGGCATGGATTATCCATCACATTACGTTAGGGTAAATAAATACAGTAAACTTTGCATAAGTCGGATCTAAATGGACTGACCAATTTTATCCGAGTTACGCGAAGATCTGAGTTAGCCAAAGACCTACTTCAGCTCTGAACGTAGGTCTCGTTATCGCCCTGTACGTTCAGGAACCGGCCTATTGAATCCTTGTCGAAATAAAATCGCTTCCCAGTCAATTTTACTGGACAACTTTTTACTGCTAAATGGTCGTGTGTCAGTCTCTGTGAACGCCTGAACAATGTAAAGGAACATTTTAGTGAGAAAAATAAGACCTTGCTTACCTTGCTAGAGTCAGTATGTGCAACACAACATGCTGTTAAAAATCCGTCCCCTTCTGCTAAACATTGAGGTCTAGATGTGGGGTGGCGTACAGATTTACGTACCATGGCCATATGAGACGAAACGAAATTTAGGTAAGCTGGAGTGGTCAAAAATTAGAATCGTTTAAGAGCTGAGAAACTTCAGTCAATTATTGCTTTGCCTAGCCCAATTACAATCAGATTTTTTCAAAAATTCCAATTTCGCTTCGTCTTATATGGCTGAGTTGCGCAAATTTGCGCGCTGCCCTGTATTTGGATTTCAATGGCGTTAGTCAGGCCGTATTTTTAACAGCATATTGTGAACATACTGCCGATCCGACTAAGGTGAAGGAAAAAAGCCGGAATTAGATCAAATGGGCCGAACATTTTGATCCGAGTTAAGCAAAGATCCAACTTAGGAAATCAGACTGACCCGCAGAAATTTAATAAGAAAAACAGGCAGGATCAAAGGGTCCAAACGATTTTATCCGAGTTGAGCGAAGATCCGACTTATGAGAATCCGACTTATGCAAGGTTTACTGTATATGTCAATTCAATTGCAAATATAAGACAAAGTAGAAATGAATTAAATGGAATATCAATAATTATTTGTGTCAAAGGTTCAATAACAATTAAAGTTTTCCTGATTATAATCTTATAATTTATGTTGGTTTTTTCTTCTGTAGTGTCCCATCGTGGTGCAGGAAGAGGAAATTTAACATCTTTGTCTACAAGTGGTCTTTCCTTATCTATGGCTTCCTTGTATTCAGGTAATCAAAAACTTTTTTTATACGTGCATATTTTTATTTGGACTTAAATTGTCCCTCCGTCCACAATTTGTTTTTGGACACTATACAGGTCACAATTTTTATTCGATTTTGATGAAACTTAAAATATAGGCCTGTCATCCAAAGATCTCAGTTCCTTTTGATATTGGTATATATCGGACCATAACTTCATGGATTATGGCCCCTGATTGTACGAAAAATCAAATTTTTCATCTGATTTTGATGAAACTTGAAATACATATTTATTACCTAGAGATCTTGTTTGGTTGAGTTAGAATTTTGTGAAAATCGTAGCAAACCTGACGGACAAAATGGCCACCACTCGTAGGCAAATAGTATATATATGGTATATCAAGGTTGTGGACCCTCTACAGCAGTGATGGGATTTCAAAATTTTACTTGTCGGACATTTTACCGAAAATAAAGGGGCATAACTCTTATCGTTATTTAAGCAGACGAATTCGTACCACAATTAAAAGTCACATGTCAAAATATTCAAATCCCGTACGTATTAAAAATAGGTGAACCTCGCTATTTTTCATATTTAATTCCCGTACAGTATTCAATTCATACCACAATTAAAAACCACATGTCAACAAAATATTCAAATCCCGTACGTAATAAAAATTGGTGACTTCGCTATTTTTCACACTTAATTCCCGTACAGCATTCAAATTTATGTCAGTAAATGTCCTACAAAATTAAGCATTTTCGTGATATGTTGAATGAAAGCTTGCCGATCCTGCTTCGGCATCAAATTCACAACCATAATATTCCTTTAGAATTACGTGTCTTCGTTTATACGGCAGCAAATGAATGCAGAACTTCCGAAATAGTTAAATCACTTGTAAACAGGCATAGCTAACTTCAGCGAATAACACTCTTTGATAGTCACGACAGAGTGACAGGCATCATAGGCAACACAGCAGAATGATTGACGCCTACAAATACGTCAGAATTTCTGCTCATATAGCTATTGGTAGCCCCTCCCTTTTTGTTATTTTGCTGGGTGCGTACTAGTCTCGGTCACCCAGAAACTCCTAGTCTTCAACATATTCGTAGAATATTTTTCTGGATAATAGAGACTAATAGCCTACGTGACTCATCACACGGCTTCATAGTAAGCACTGCCTAATAATATGTTAAGCCTTATTCGTGCCGCGCTCGAGATCAAGGGAAAGTGCCACTGTGGATGAGAATTTCTATATGGATTCTTAAAAGACGTAAAAGATATCGTAGACAAAATGACTGTCCATTGATTTAGGGTGTTATTTACTCTTACGATATGTGACATCTATGATTAGTTTATTATAGATGATGTCGGCTCACATCAATGCGATTAAGATGCCCGACAAATGAGAAACCACGAGGTTTATAATCATTCTTATTGAATTGATGAATAGTCCGACAAAAGGAAAGCAATGACTTCTGTTTAAGATTAGATTGATGAATTGTCCAACAAAGGATTAAGTCAGTCAATCAAGGCAGATTAAGTAGTTAAATCAAGGTAGGTTTATACTATTGACGGTATAACACGATAAATACGTTGATCACTTAATTACCTAATAAACCCAGCGTATTATCGACGATAATCGGGTTGAGTGGTAGTTATACACTCAGTAAACTATATTAATTTCGGAATTTTGAATATTATTCACCATGTCTTGATGTCCGATTGGGCATATTCCCGGTCGGACAATTTTGGGCGTTTGGAAAAAAGATTCGGACAAGTCCGGAATATACGGGCAAAATCCCATCACTGCTCTACAGGCCACAATTTTGATATGATTTTGATGAACCTTGAAATACATGTTTATAACCCAAATATCTTGGTTCCTGTTGATATTGGCGCATATCAGATCGTAACTTCCTGAATTATGGTCCTTGATTGTACGAAAAATCGCATTTTTAGCTTGTAGTTCCTCTAGAGGGCTAAATTTTTTACCGATTGAAAAAACGTTTGAATATTTCACCATTACACCCTAATGACGGCTGTGTTATAATTTTGTGAAAATCGGCCCAAAACCGTCAGACAAAATGGCTGCCCCTCGTACGTAAATAGTGTAAATATATGGTATATCAAGGTTGTGGACCCTTTAGAAGTCACAATGTTGATCCGATTTTGATGAAACTTGAAATATAGCTTTATAACCCAAAGATCTTGGTTCCTGTTGATATTCGTGCATATCGGATCGTAACTACCTGAATTATGGCCCTTGATTGTACGAGAAATCGCTTTTTGTTTAGCTTGATTTCTATACATCTCTTGCAAAATGTGGGCGTATCCTACCTGGCAGCCGCTGGTTGTATAAAATTATAACCTTTATCTTCAAATATTGTACAAATGTATTCTGAAAGATATCCAATGACCTTACACTAGGCACTGGCTTCCCATATTCAATCTTAGTATTTACCGAGAAAGTTCCTTGCAATAACTCCAGCAGGATCCCCCCTTGTCATTTGTGCACCACGGAAGGCTTTGCAAGAAACCCAGTCTAATCATACAAATAGAACAAACAACTGAGGACCTTTTACAATTGGATTTCGAAATAAAAGTAGGCATTTAGTGCTGCTATCCGGGCAGAATTTCCCTCATAGCAAACTGCATGAGGTATGCCCATCTTCATTAGCCTGGATGAAGCAGAAAAGCAGGACATTAAACCTCATTTCATTTCATCATTGACCTGTTGCCAGTATCATCAGTGGAACTCTTCATTATCTTGCAAATTTACTAGATAATAGTAGCTGTATCAAAATTTAAAGATGTCAAATAACATTGCAGGTCTTTTTTCTGACTTCAAATGTTATATAAATTATTATTTAAACATTTATTAACATGCCAAGCCCATAACCAACTCTCTAGGCCATAGGATGGCGCCTATTTTAAATAGATTAGAACGAAACCACTCAAGTGTTTAACGATAAAATAATTAATCGAGACATAGTCTTGATTGTAAAGCACTGTAGCTATGATAATAAACAATCTACGCTATAAAAACTCACAACTTCGCCTAGAAAAAAGTAATTTGACTGAAATTTTCAGTATATTCATTTTTATACGCCCACATTTTCATGTGGACGTATTATGCCGTCGCCCCTGTCCGTCCGTCCGTCCACAATTGTTTGTGGACTCTCTACAGGTCACAATTCTTATCCGATTTCGACGAAACTTGAAATATAGGTTTATCCTCAAAAGATCTTGGCTGCTTTCGATATTGGCATGTATCGGATCGAAACTTCATGGATTATGCCCCCTGTTTGTACGAAAAATCACATTTTTAGCTTGTGGACCTTATAGAGGTCACAATTTTTATCTGATTTTGTTGAAACTTGAAATGTAAGTTTATAACCCAAAGATCTCAGTTCCTTTCAATATTTGCCCATAACGGACCGTAACTTCCTGAATTATGGCCCCTGATTGTACGAAAAATCATGTTTTTAGCTTGTGGACCCATTAGAGGTCATAATTTTTATCCGATTTAAAAAACCGTATTATTATATTACCGTTCCACCCTAAGGACAGTTGAGATTGAATTTTGTGAAAATCGCCCCAAAATTGACAAACAAAATGGCCGCCGTTTCTTCTCAAATAGCGTAAAAATATGGTATATCAAGGTTGTGGACCCTATAGAGGTCACAATTTTTATCCGATTTTGTTGAAACTTGAAATGTAAGTTTATAACACAAAGATCTCAGTTCCTTTCGATATATGCGCATATCGAATTGTAATTTCCTGAATTATGGCCCTTGATTGTAGCAAAAATCACTTTCTTGTTAGCTTGTTCTCTGTCCATCTCTCGAAAATGTGGGCGTATCCTGCCTGGCAGCTGCTGGTTGATTATCTTTTTTGGAACTATTATAGCAGGGATGACAAGCTCTTTATCTAATTCTTACATAATGCACCTTTAATAAATTGTTATTAATTTAGGATTGTTTCTGTTCATATCTATAAAACTGATAGCTACCGGTATTTATATTTACATAGATGCAGACCTTCATAGGAGTACAAGTTCTACAGAGAAACAAAAGTAAGTAGATAGTAGTATTTATTAGTAGATTAGTAATTGTTTAAAATGGCTGTGAATCTCTTGATATAATATTTGTGTTCTTTAAAAAAAACCTGTAAGTATCTCATGAAAAAATATGCCTATTCAATGAATTTAGTATCTCTATTTATTTCTACATTGGGGCTTCTCTTTAAGGTTTGTAGCCACTGTAACAAACTGTGTTCATTATATATACTAGATGGAAGGTCTTCACTATATATACTAAACAGCAAAAAAAACGTCAGTACGATTTCAAAATCAGAGAGGCACTTTAATCAAATCATTCTAGAAAATGACTTACTAAATGGATCAAAGCAATTTTTTGTGAACAGTATGTTGACACATTAGTGATTAATTCATCACAATTCCAAGACATTACGAGAAGGTTTAGAGTCTGTACACAGTCTATTCATCAGTATCTGGTGTGTCCACCGCAAGTGTCAATAACAGCAGCGCAGCATCAGTACATGGAGTGGATCAGACGATTGATGAACGCCATTGGCACCTGGAACCACACTCTCAGAAAATCCTGGTTCAATCCATCGGCTGTGTTTGGTCTCGGTACACATTATTAAATCTACTCTGATTTCATCCCAAAGATGTTCAATCTTGTTTAAGTCCGGACTAAGGGCTGGCCAGTGCATAGTGTTAACACCGTTCTGCTGTAGAAAGTCCCGGTGTGATGCTGGCGGTGTTATGCTGGAAAACGTTGTTTCGATGAAGTGCGAAATGTGGTATGACGTGGGGTCTGAGAGCTTGATCGATGTAGTGCACTGCTGTGATGCCGCCTCCTCTCCCTGGACCAAGATTTCGAAAAAACACCACGGGACCCACTCTCTGGTTTAGGCCGATTCCACCCCAAACCATTATGCTTGGACCTCCCCATGAGCCTCGTTCCATGACACATTGGTCAGAATAACGCTGGCTGCATCGACACCATATTCTGGTCCTGCCATCTGTCTGCAGTTGATACACAATAACGACTCTCATCTGTGAACAGAACAGTTCTCCATTGCCTGTGTCGCCAGTTCTGGTATTGTTGGACAAACTGTAGACGTTCACGTCGTTGGCGAGGGGTGAGGATCGGTCCACGGTAAGGTCTACGGCAATGGATGTTCTCTATGGTGAGACGTCGGCGCACTGTATCGGTACTGACGTGCTGTCTCAGATGCTTGTGTGAAGGGATTCTGCACGTGCTGTCACACAACATGGCGGTCTTGTCGCCTTGTGGTAACCCTTGGTGTACCAGTTCAGGGGCGATCATCCATGGTGTTGGTGGCCCGAAGCGTTGCTGAAGCTTGTATATGGTCCGAACATTTACCTGGAAGTGATTGGCAACGGCTTGGGCAGTGTGGCCAGCGTTGAGTCTTCCAAGCGTCTGGTTCCTCTGCGCTGTCATGAGTCGTGGCATTCTGCTGACGTTGTAGTGTGAATGATTCAACCAGGTATGGGGGTGCATTTTATAGGGCTGGTCCTGGTGAACAGTACGTGCAGCATGTGTTACATGAAAATCATGGAGAACACATTACCATCTCAAAAATCAGGTTGCGTTTTTGAGAACATTTTCTGGATTCAATTCTGTGTTTGGGAAGGAGCCTTATTGCTCAGGTAAAGTTGGAGATGTGGTCACAAATATACAATAAAAGCATTTGGTAAATTTTATGCAATGCATCTATTGAGAGTAACATACCAACCTGACGTTTCTTTTGCTGCTTAGTATAGTAAGGGAGCTAAGTTCAGGTTTCGAAAATCGCATACAAAATATCTACTATGCTAGATGAGTGGACAGTGGTGGCCGATACTCTGAACCTTGATTCTTAAGTTACGGGTCCCCTTCCCATGTGGGTGAGGGGGGGGGGTGACAAAATGTTGAAATTTCCAGTTTATTTCGACTTTTGGGTACAACAATCAACTTTCGTACATAAGTCGACCAACTTCAGATTACATCTTGTGACGCTTTAGAGGCCAAAGTTACCATCAGATTGATACACAGAGTTTAAGGTCTTGAGACGAACAAGTATATTGATTTTCAATGAATTTTATGACTTGAACAGCTAAATCCATGATGTTAAAAGTTTCGTATACTAAACGTTAGCATGGGGCAGAACTTTATAAAAACCAAACAAATTCTATTGGTTTTCTGATAATTATACTTAATGAGTTATTACTCTTAATCAGATTATAATGTATTATAAATGGTTCATTACCGAAAAAAGTAAAAATATGCGACAACTCTTGTTGACTGCCCGGACGATTTAGCTGCTGTGGGTGTATGTTTCGTTGCCTAGCAACTTATCTTTGTTTAAAGTTTCACTATTGGTCCGCTAAAACATAACACGAACTTAAGAGCGTGAAATCCCCTTCTATCCCGGATAAGAACGACAAAACGACATGGGTAAAATGACATGCGGGGGGGGGGGGGTCGTAAAGGATGTTTTCTTAAGGAAGGAAGAAAGTTTTGCGGGTCCTCATAAGCAGTGTTTTTGGCAACTTATGCGCGAGAGTTGATTGTTGTATGCAAAGTCGAGTTAAGCTCGAAAATTTTGACATTTTGTCAAGACCCCACGCCTGTTGGGAAGGGGACCTGCAACTAAAACTTAAGAATCAATGTTCAGAATATCGAGTACCGCTGTCCACTTATTTAGCATAGTAGAAGTTTTGTGATTTTCGAAACAACATGAACCTAGCTCCGTTACTGATAGGGGAAGGGGTGAACGAATGGTCCAATGTTTGCGCTTTAGATCATAAGATCTTTTATAGAGTCAAGTGGTGCAGTTCGATACCCAGCTTGTACGTGACTGATAAAGACCCCAATATGCATGCGAATTAATGAAATTTAATCGTATGTTGGTTGAAATGACCTAGTTGGTGTCGAATGTCGAGTGGATGTTAAATCCCATTTCCCTCTCTCTCCCTGTGAATCATATTGACCTCCACCTTATACTGAAAACTACCGTAGATAGTGAGGCTCTAGTTTACCAGTACATGAACTTCGGCTTTATCCTTCAATTTTATGGTAAAAGTTCTTCTCTCTTTTATTATTTATTTGTCTATAAATATTTTTCTTTCTAGTTCTATTCAGGAAGGTTCTTACTTATCAGCTGAGTCTGTTGCCATTTCTCTTATCAAAAAATTCTCTGAAAAGAAGTTGCCTAAAGCTTCTGATTTAGAATGGTTAGTGTCTGAACAAGATGCTCCACAAGCTGTAAGTTACTGTTTTCACCTTTAATACCTAAAATGTTAAAGAGGCAATATCACTTTGAATAAATGTACATTAATTCCAAACACTGACATATTTAGAATATGGTATTTTACATAGAGGTGTTTAACTCCTAGAAAACGAACTAAAATTGTACACAACTCACAAATTAAAACGAACTAGAAAACGAACTAAAATTGTACACAACTCACAAATTAAAACATAAATTAAAGTAACTATAACAGATTATTATTATTAAAGGAAATAAAACAGATTTTTACAAATTAGTATTTTAGTAATTAAAAGAGATTAATATTAAAGTAACTAAAACAGATTATTATTAAAGTAATTAAAACCGATTATTATTAAAGTAATTAAAGCAGAATAGTATTAAAGTAACTAAAATAGATTATTATTAAATTAATTAGAACAGATTAGTATTAAAGTTACTTAAACAGATTGGTATTAAAGTAATTAAACAGATTGGTATTAAAGTAACTAAAAGAGATTAGTATGAAATTAACTAAAACTAAAGTAATTAAAACAGGTTATTATTAAACTCGAACAGATTAGTATTTAAGTAGATTAGTATTAAAGATACATTCCCAGGTACAAACTAGGTGATTTGATGATATATTTGGACTAAAAACATATTCAAACTAATTAATATAGCATAATTTTGCTTCAAATCCTACTCAAAACATTGCAATTGTCAGGGAACACCCGGTTATAAAAAATTGACCAAAAGGGGTCATTTTTGTGTCACAAGACACAATGGGTGTGAAGTCGGAGGAGAATTCATTGCATACAAAAGACGATGTTGCCTTTATCGCTGACTATTTATTTATTATCGAAGCCTAATTAAATTCTCGGATTATCCACTGCCCGCATCTTTTTCCGTGATTTTTATCTTCATAAAGTTTATCAACATGTACATCAAGCGCCAAATCTCCGCATGCAACCTTCGATGTCATGCGTGCAGACACTCCTAATTGTCAGGCTATCGATTAGGGAAACCCGTACATTTTTGTCCTGTAGGCGCTTCATGAGTGTTTTTCAGGGAATCCAGTATTTTTCTAGTAAGATTGGATATTTCTACTTTCTATATATACCAAAATTGCCATACTTTTATTGGAAATAACCACCTGATCAATACTTTTCTGGGAACGTAGCTTTAAAGTAATTAGAACAGTTATTATTATAATAATAATGAAAACAGATTATTATTAAATTGATTAAAACAGATTAGATAAAATTACCATTATATATGTCCTGATTGTTTTCCAGTTACTTCCTTTACCAAAGTCGTACCCTGTATCACCGGATGATGGGGAAAATTCAGACCTTCTTTCTACAAATATACAGGTAATCAATTCAGTGATATTAAGGTTGATTAACGTTTCTTGGGGGTGGGGGTGAATCTAGGAGTCATTCAAGTCATTATGTCAAGGCTTCTACCAGAAAACCAAAATTTGATTATGTTTCAGAACAATATTAATGGCTTATTTTCACTTTTAAATATTAGAAAAATGAGTATTCCTGAAGTAGCCATCTTTCCCTTGATACATGAGTAACACTTAATTTTGATAATATACACATGAAATTAAATAATATACCAAAATAATCGATAATGGGACTATGATGGTTGTTTAAAATGTTTTAAGTGTATTTATAAGATGATTATAATAAATTTCTAATTTGTTATTTTTACCTTCAGACTAGGTTGAGAGGTAATCTAGAATGGGCACCACCTAGAGCACAAATCATCTTTAATATTCACCCACCACCTAAGTAAGCAACTGAATATTTTTCTATGACTATGTACCCAAAAATACATCACACATTACTTTACACATCAGTAACAATATGCAGGAGTTTTCTATGTTTATCAATCGGTTGTATTCTGCGTCTACCATTAATACATTAAAGTAAAGTCTATTAAGACCAAAATACATTTCATGATATATCACCATTATAATTAGACAGCTTGATGGTATCTATTCATGCAGATACACTATATGTAGTGAAGCCGTGCAGTTTCTATCAACTATTTGTTCTTTATTATGGTTGTTGTACATTATAAGTTATAAACCTTATCTAACCAAATGCCCCTGTAATGGAAACCCTTGTATTGCTTTTGTCAGTAATGAAATTCGGTGTCTTCAGTAGGCATGTTTTATTTGAGAATCGGAAAGGCATAAAGAAAGAGACCAATTTTTGATGTTATATTACAGAAGACGTGTTATATTAGCGAAACAGAATTATAGATGTGCTGGTTGTGGTACAAAAGTTGAATTGGGTCAGTTGAGAATATTTATATGATCTTTTCATACTCACTGTTGTTTTAATTTTTATTAGAAATTTGTAATTTTTCATATTTTTTTTTTTTAAAAAAAGCCTATTATTTCTCAATTTTTGATAAAGGAGAGGGGCGAGAGAAATATTAACAATTTTTTATTTTTGGCAATTGCAATGATACTTATTTCAGTTCCTTTAAATTAATGACATTTTAATGACTTATAGTAGTAGATTTATCCCATATCCTGCTATAAATGAGATTACGTATTGTCAGATAAAAAGATTATTAAAATAAAGCCCACAAAAGGTCATATTGATATAACCTATTTAAAATAACTTAAACATGCTCTTTAAGTTTGGTGTTTGTTTTGTTTGCAGATTATGTGAAACGATTTAGATATTGTGAATATCTAGGAAAATTCTTCTGTCAGTGTTGTCATAGCAACTCATTAGAATATATACCAGGAAGAATTATTCGAAAGTGGGACTTCATCAAATATCGAGTTTCAAACTTTGCCAGAGATGTTTTAACAAAGATTTATTCTGATCCCTTATTTGATATAACTGTCATCAACCCAACTTTATATCGTAAAACAAGAAACCTAGAAACTATTCGTGATTTTCGAAAGCAGCTATACCATCTTCGGACATTTCTTAAAGTGTGTAAAGATGGAGCAAGGTAAGCGCAACTTAAATCGACCATATTCTTTGAAAATTCCCCTCCTCTGCACTCCTCAAACATCCATCAAAAAAAAAAGTTAGCTTTGTAGATTTTTTGAGATGCTGGATGTCATTCCATTCAGTAAAATTTACTGGACTTTACAATATCTCTCACATAACAAGTGATTTTTGGGAGTTTGAATATTCGAAACATATATATATATTAGAATCAGGGATCTTAATTTGCTGATTTTTGTCGGCTTTAGCCGCTTGAAATTCAATCAAGCCGATTTGTAAAACAATGAACCGGCCACTATGGTATCATAAATCAGTCTACTTTCGGCTAAATTACAACGGGTTAATTATTACTTGTTAATTAAGTAGTCAATCAACTTGCTTGTTGGCTACAATAACAATAGTGAGAATCGGCCTTGTGGTTCATAATCCAAGAAATTAGCACGAGTCACCATAATTTTGATATCCCGGTAAAAAAACAAAACAAGCTTGCTGATTATTCATAACAGGTCCAGTAAGTTGCCTTTGAGGAAATAAGCCATGTGATAATTGAAGGTTTCACTGACCAATTGATTATAATCCTCGGATAGAACACTGAATACACCGAGAAACTGTCATTGGTAATATATTATGAATCTCCAATGTTGATGACACGTGACATCGGTCGGTTTTAGGTCAATAACCCAGCGATGCTAGTTTTAATTTTAAATAGCGTTTACCTTTATGACAGAGGCTTAATTCTTAAAATGTTGTCGTTATTATTATTGAAAGCTATATGGCATAGTTGTATGGAATTTAATTTTAAAGCCATTTCAATTATGGTTGTAACGTGATCACTGTGCCATGTGTCTATCATCATCGAATGAATAAAAACATTTGCAAGTTACGTGATTGAAAAAAACCCTACAAATTGTGTTATGAAGAAATATACTATTCAAAAAAAGTAGGAGATGTTTGATTTTGGGGGCATAATACTAAAATATGCAAATGACTACGAAAAAAGTCACTATAGAACCTAACAGAAGAAACATTTCCAGTTACATGTGACGCCCAAACGCACCAATAGCTACCGCATGGAATGCAGGTGATGCTTGGGATCATCATGGGGGTCCAACCCAAGATTTGCACGACTCTGACTTTGAATGTTACAGTCATTGTGGCATTGAATTCCAGGGTGGAAACATCAGTTTAATTGTTTTAGTGACCAGAAAACAAATTTTGATATGCGTCGGCTTACCCAAAATGAAAGGTTACGTGCCCTTGGCATGCTACAGATCGGCACAACACAGGCGGTTGTGGCGCGGACGATGAATGTTTCTCATTCTGTCATAAGCAGGCTATGGTCCAGATACCGTGATACACAATCTGTACAGGACAGACCACGCTCAGGTCGACCAAGGGCGACAACTCAAGCCCAGGATCGATTTATCCATACCTTGGCCTTGAGAAATCGTGTCATCACAGCAAATCAGATCAGCGCTCGTCTTCAAACAGACACTGGTGTGAGAGTGAGTGGCCAGACGATTCGGAATCGACTGCATAGGGGTCACCTTCGCGCCCGACGTCCTCGCGTGATCCCTTGTTTGAGAGATCATCACATTCAGGCAAGACGTCGTTGGTGTAGGAATCGTCAACACTGGGATAATCGACGCTGGAGCAATGTGATGTTTTCAGATGAGTCAAGGTTCACTGTTGATTTTTTGGACAGACGTAGGAGGGTGTGGCGTTGTCGAAACGAGCGCTTCCAAGACGTTAACGTCATCAGACATGATCGATTTGGGGGTGGTTCTGTTATGGTGTGGGGAGGCATCACTGTTGCTGGAAGAACGGCTTTACATGTTGTTGCAGGGCGTGTTACAGGCCAGTACTACCGGGACAACATCTTGGCAGTCCATGTTGTGCCGTTCGCACGACGTCATGGCCGCCGTTTCATCTTCCAGGATGACAACGTCAACAACGTCCTGCCAATGTCCAAGAACTTGCTGCTGCGTTGCAACAGGAATGGGACAATCTGGACCAAAATGACCTTAGACGTCTCATTAGGAGTATGCCACGTCGGATCAATGCTTGTTTGGCAAACAGAGGAGGATTTACCCGTTACTGACTTGGTTGTGATGCTGTGGTAACTTTGCTGTTTGACCCCGGGTATCATTTTACCCTTATAATGGTCAGTCTGTGCCTTACTTAGTCTAACGATCATTTGGAATAAATCGATGAATGTGAACTTCATTTCATTTTGTCATTTGTTTCTTCGTCAGTTTCATTAGGTGACTTTAATAACATTTAAAAATCAAATATCCCCTACTTTTTTTGAATAGTATACCATGGTGCTGTATCAGCTTATATCCATCGAAAAAAACGAATACAGTAATATATTCAGGAATATTACTGACATGAATTTCAAGCCAGTGAATTAAATATGAATATTTTTCCGAACGGTGTACCTGTTTGTCGTTATTTTTTGCGATAATTACATGTAGTAGAATACGATATTTCTCATAATGAATTACCAAGAATTATTTTTGTTGAAGTCTAGTTATAATAAAGGGAATGGAAGCTTCAAATGTTAATATGTTAATAATAATATGAATGTCACACATAGATCCTAAAAGAGTTTTCAAAGTACAAAAATGCACAAAGCAAAAGGAAGCTACAGTGGCTCAGTGAGTAAGATATTGGCTCTCTAACCTGGAGGTTCCATTCTTGTGTTGGTCAAGAAATTTCATAGTGATTTTCTGGCGGGGTTCCTCCTTGTCAGTGATGTAGGATGGAGGGCCTGGCAAGAGACAATTTTTAGTCGTTTGCATGGGACGGAAAACTGAGGTCCCGTTTACAAACTGGCATGCACATAAAAAAACAATTAACTGTTTGAATTTGAAATAAGAGTGGGCAGTAGCACATAGTATGGCGTATGCCCGTGGTCATTAGCCCAATCGGTGCAAATTTTATTTGCATCAAGCAAAAACATTTCATTTCACTTCATTTGCATAAAGCAAAAACAAAGGACCAAGTCAATACAAATGAATTTGTATTTGAAATGTGAATGCTACCCCTTACATCACCATAGAGTATAATGTCAGTCCTTTTTTCCTCATTATATTGATGTAGTTCACAGGATAATTATCATCCACGCGATAAGGGATTTGAAAGATCCTTAAAGATTAAGCAGACAAATCGGTGGTCGCAATTTTCTCATAACAAGGAGTCAATCTACAATTGTTCTGTGCCATTTATGATTGTCAGTAACATTTATAAGTGTTTTGTACTTGATAGCTGAATGTACTGGATACTTCCAAATTCAATCAAAAATGTCTAATTGTATAAATCCCTTTAACACTAAAAGCTTCTGTATTATTCATTCTTTTAACATGTTTCTAATTGTTTTGTTTTTATTAGTCTATTAGCGGATATAGAAAAATTACCACGTCATTGGATAGAAGATAACAGTATTTATTCTCTGGAAGATCTTATTAATGTAAGACATCATTTATCTAACTGTAACATTGTACTTAGTGCAGGCTTAAACTTAATTTTTACTTGAATTTCGGTTGAATCTTGCTAGTTCAAAGCCTCATTGTCACATGTCGGAGTTGGTTTCTACTGGGCAGAGTGTGCCTAATTGTTCGTATGAGATGGAAAAATGATGTCCATTTATGTACATGTTGGCAGGCATTTAGAAGAACAATTAGAATACAGAAAATGCCCATGTCTGGGCAAAATCCAGCTACCACCACCTGCAAATGAAACCATTGAAATTACCATGTCCATATTATGTTGATGAAACGTTATACACCATTCCATTCAAGTCATGTACGTTTACCCAGCATTCCCAAATCCTGATTAGGGCTAAACAGAGGTTTAAATAAAGAACACTTCAACAATGATATTAAACCCCTAATGGGCTTTCATGAATACAGCTCTGAACTCTTAAATATATTTATCTGTCTGCTCCCTGCAGAGTTATAAATTCACAGAGAAAAATACATTTTTTCCACAATTTGAATATTATCACAGTTTATAATGATATATTCTTCACTTACAGGTTAAGAATGGTTCTATGTTAAACCAGTTAAAGAATAATGTATCTAATAGTCTTAGTCATATAGATCATTGTCAGGTTGGTAGAAATAGATTTATAACTTTCATGTTCAACATATAGGTACAGGTATGAGGTAACTGAAGGAAATATGCTTGAAAGTTTGGACCATGTTATTGAAATGACAAAATATGAAACTTTGACCTTTTAGAATTATGTAGTACAGTAGAATCTGTATTAAGCAGCCACTCACAGGAATTTTCATGACTGATCACTTAATGGGAGTGACCTCTTAATAAAATCTTAGTGTTTGTTAGTGCGGACGTCAAGAAAATTTTACACTTGGATGCATTTTGAGCAAACATCAATACTTGCATCGGTAAATTTGGCAATCGCTGAAACTTGCTTTGAACGATAAATTCTTTGACTCAAATCTACTGTGTACCATTGTGATGTATTCGATTTTTGTAAAGAAAATCCTTGAATTAATTTTATTTTATCAAAAAAACATCGCTAAATTTTTCACCGATTTTCAGGGAGTGTAACTCGATATGTAATATAGGAGGCGCTAAAATTCTGTTTACCAACAAAGTGGCAATGGAAAAAAGATACTGGATGGTCGAGACAAAACTCGGCTTTGTCGGTACTTATAGTTTATTCAATCAGTATCAAATAAAGTTTCTCGTACGTGTGAAAGCCATGATCGGCAGATCAGGATTTGTCATTTAATAAAACAAAAGATTAATTAACAGATAATCCCGGGTTTATTGTTAATTTCACAGTTTTTTTTACCTGATCGGTGGGGGCCAGATAATTAACTATTAATCACAGGATTACCGGAGGTGCTAAGAAGTACGACAAGATGGTATCATCCAACAAGGGCCGTTGAATGGGTGATATTTTGTTAAATTTATAACTAAAACAGTGACAGCTGGCTGCGTCAGAAGAGTGACCGTTGATTAAAGAGATGAAACAATAGATATTCTATGGCGGGAATTTATCGTGACCGCTTACAAGGAGATGTCGCTGAATAGTAGTGGCTGCTCGTACAGATTCTACTGTACATGTAAATGAGAAGTCATTGATTGAAAAATATATAAGTGACTTGCACTTATTTAATAACAAATACATTCAATGTTTCAATTTTGAATACACATATAAAAAATATTACATACCTTCCCAAAATTTCAATACAACCTCAGGATTTTTTTACATTATCTATAAAATATAAAAGCTACACGCTTGAACAGTATTTAAAGAAAATTTTCTTCACAGATTGTTCGGTTGGCACATGAGGAATTGAGATATAATAACCTAATACAAGTATATGGCCTAGAAAGTCCATTCTTAAAAGTCCCTGGTTGTGATTTGAACGATATAAGTATATCAGTCCAAAAGTGGATCAATTCCAGTCAGTACTTACAAAGATATGTTGATCTATAGATCATTGATCTATGCTGCCCTTTATGTAAATGGTACACTTTACTGCTTCTGTTTTCTGTCTTCTCACTTCTTTATGAATATTCCAGCATTTTGAAATCTACGGTAATCACCAGTAAACAAGTCTTTGTATTGTTGGATGAAGTCATGATATTATAACCCATCTACTGCCATTGAAGCATGTTTGTGAATGTAATTGATGAGCCGGGAGATTATGTATCTTTTGATATTTTGATCTTGTTTTCTTAACTAAATGAGTAGGACGGCAAACCCCATTTCATTTCATTTATAAATGTTTAATAATCAGTCAGAGTAGATATTGCAAGTCACGCACAGTTACTTTAAATAACCATAAGCAATTACTAACCAATCTTGATTTTTGGAAATGCATGTCTTGAAGGAAATCGACCTATTCATTGCAGTTTTATGCTCCCTATTCTGTATTGTAACATTGGATGCTTATTGGCATGTATTTCTATTTATTAAATAGACTCTGGCTTTCCTCTTTAAAATGTCACCATAAAACTCTTGTAGAAGTATTGGAATTTACATGAACGCTTGCATTGACTGTTTTTGAAAAGAAAAAAAAATCCATGTACCTGTAATTTAAAGGACATTTTTATTTCCTGTGTTTTAGTTCTGTCAAGGAATAGGGTAGATATTTTTACCTTTTATTTTTAAATCAGGGATGCAAATATTTCTTTCTATGATTTTTTTTTTTACCTTTTTTGGTTTTATTTTTTGGAGTTTTTGGCAAACAGAATGAACAATTTTCATAAATGTGTTTTTTTTGAGAATAAGCTGTAGGAATAAGCTTTTACTCAAAGACTTCAGTCAAGGAAGGTTAACTTAGGTTACATATGTAGCCTGTATATATGAACAATGAAGAAAATATGTTTATCTCAAGTCTTGAGTAAAAGCTGTCTTACTTAATGCTCATATTGGTTTTAAAAATAACCAAAATTGGTTTCTATGTGTCAGACATTAGCAATGTGTTTGACCTTAAAATCATGTTTTTAACAATAAACAGGAATACTCTTGATAGTTCATTAATTTAATATTGAACTTATATAATGAACTCTCAAAAAATGCCTCTTTTTAAATTATCAAATTTGGGTTTTGATTTTGTTTATATAAACACATACATACATGTATTCGAAATGGGGCACATGGTAACCAAGACGTTCTTTTTTTTTTATAGAATCTAGATTTGGTATCTGGTTAAATAATTATTGTCTTCTTTGTAACATTATTTGAAGGGATGTGGCATGGTTAAAGCATAGCATGGCAGATTTTATTATCTGCGTTCTCAACTCTCCTTCTAATACTTAAAGAGCTGTGCGTGCACATGAAATTTTGAAGCAAAATTCACCATGTTAATCTTGAAAAGATCTTATTTAATATGATTTTCTCTTGTTCACTTTTATAATTTAGATACAAAAAATTTGTTTTCAACAAAAGAAAAAATATATAATTGTCAAGTATGTCATAGGCGCCGTAACGTAGATTTTTAAGCTGACGTAGTAAAGACATCTAAATAAACTTAAAACATTTTGGTCAAAACGAGATTAGTGAATGGGATTATCAATTAAAACGCTTATAAATAGTGTAATTTTTAGGTATGGGTTAACCAAAGTAAAAATTTGTGAATAGTTGATTATTAAGAAGTAAGAACTGCACAAATTGAAGTGTGTCATAAAAAATTTCCAGCACCGTGAGTAAAACATCTCACTTTTTTTTGGCATTTGGTACTAAGAAAAATAAAAAAAAAAACATTGATAACATTGATGTAAGCGTGCTTCTAGGACTTAGAGTTCATTTTTATCATGGCACTTTGATAATAACCGTTTAACTAACTTTAGCATATGGCTCAAAAATGTTATTTCCACTGGGACCTCAAACAGCTGGCGGTTTCAAAAATGAGTTAAAAATTATGTAAAAAAAAAAATCACTTTTAAATTATTTCAGGGAACATATAAAATATGCAAATGGTTAACAGTGTTGTTTTATTTGCAGTTTTGCCAGGGAATGGGATTTATCTGTGAAATGTGTCATAAGGTGGACATCATCTTCCCTTTTCAACTTCATAAAGTTATACTTTGCGCTGGTAAGTATTACCAGTTACCTCCCTACATGTATATACATACACATACTGAAATTGAAGTTTCTGAATTCTGCAAAAATTGTCAATCAAGTAAACACAAGATACTATCTCAACCAGTCTCTTTATCTTAAACAAGTTCTCCATATTTGGTTACTACTTGTAGAACTATACTAGGAGTCAGTTCTGTTAATTTAGAATGTTATGAATTCCCAATCGAGCAACCCCTGTTGTGGTGGGAATGCTTTATAACTTGGTGGTGATACTATAACAGAGTCTTTCTTGACCAACATTTATCGCTTTCGACAATTTGTAATTGCAACATGGATGACAATAGTTATGAATTTGATCATGATCTGGTTGTTTGCTTATTAGCATTTTGTGTCTCCAAATTATTGATTGGTATGTTATAATTGGTTGGCATGACACATGGTAAGTAGTTGGCATATGGCAAAATTGATTAGCACTGGTGATAATTGCAACTTAGAGTTAACAAATTATTTTAAAGAATCTTTAGAATATTTAATTTTGAATGTCTGTTATATTTCAGATTGTTGCTCTTGTTATCATAAAGCTTGTTTTGTACCCAACAAATGTCCAAAATGTGCCAGAATTGAAGCTAGGTAGGCTTTATCTAATTGTAAAACATTTATTAGTCATGGATAAGAATTTTTATACTCCCACAATTGTTTGTCTATCCTACTGAAACCATAACTTTCATAGTTATTCCCCTTTGTTATGAACTATATATCCATCGATCGGTCATTAACATCTCTTGTTAGCACAATACACGCTTAATTAAGTTGTATAGTTTCTATACCACCACATTTTCATGTGGACGTATTATACCGTCGCTCCTGTCAGTTTTTAACTTGTGGACACTCAAGAGGTCACAATTTTCATCTGATTTTGATGAAACTTAAAATGCATGTTTATGACCCAAAGATCTTGGTTTCTTTTGATATTCGTGCAAATCGGATCTTAACTTCCTGAATTATGGCCCCTGATTGTACGAAAAATTGTGTTATTAGCTTGTGGTCCCTCTAGAGGTCACAGTTATTATCTGATTTAAAAAAACATTCAAATGTATCACTGTTACACCGTAATTAAATATGTCGGTTGAGTTGGAATTTCGGGAAAATCGGACAAAAACTTTCTGACAAAATGGCTGCCCCTCCTTGTACACAAATAGTGTAAACATATGGTATATCAAGGTTGTGGACCCTCTAGAGGTCACAGTTTTGAACCGATTTTGACGAAACTTGAAATAGATGTTTATAAGCCAAAGATCTTGATTCCTTTCGATATTTGTGCATATCAGATCGGAACTTCCTTGAATTATGACCCTTGATTGTACGAAAAATCATGTTTTTAGCTTGTGGTCCTTCTAGAGGTCACAATTTTTATCCAATTTAAACAAAAATGTTAAAATATATCACCATTACACCCAAATGATGGTTGAGTTAGTTTTCGTGAGAATTGGACTAAAACTGCTGGACAAAATGGCCGCCCATCGTACACAATAAGTGTAAATATATGGTATATCAAGGTTGTGGACCCACTAAAGGGCACAATTTTTATCCGATTTAAAAAAAACATTTGAATATATCACCGTTACACTGTAATGTTGGTTGAGTTCGAATTTCGTAAAATTTGGACAAAAACTGACGGACAAAATGGCCACCACTTGTACGAAATAGTGTAAACATATGGTATATCAAGGTTGTGGACCCTCTAGAGGTCACAATTTTGATCCGATATTGATGAGACTTAAAATATATGTTTATAACCCAAAGATATTTGTTCCTTTCGATATTCGCGTATATCGAATACTAACTTCCTAGATTATGGCCCTTAAATTGATTGTACGAAACATCACACTTTTATCTTGTGGTCCCTCTAAAGGTAACAATTATTATCCGATTTTAAAAAAACATTTGAATTTATCCCTGTTACACCGTAATGTTGGTTGAGTTCAAATTTTCGTAAAAATCAGACAAAAACTGCTGGACAAAATGGCCGCCCCTTGTACGCAAATAGTGTAAACATATGGTATATCAAGGTTGTGGACCTTCTAGAGGTCACAATTTTAATTGGATTTTGATGAAACTTGAAATACATGTTTATAACCTAAAGATCTTGGTACCTTTCGATATTCGCGCATATTTGATCGTAACTTCCTTAAATATGGGCCTTGATTGTACAAAAAATTGCATTTTTACCTTGAGGTTCTTCTAGAGGTCACAATTTTTATCCGATTTAAAGAAAAACATTTGAATATATCACTGTTACACCCTAATGTAGGTTGAGTTCCAATTTCGTGAAAATCGGACCAAAACTGCCGGACAAAATGATCTTGGTTCCTTTCACTACTTGCGCATAGTAACTTCCTGGCTGAATGGCCCCTGATTAATAAAAAAATTGTGGGTTTTTTTAGCTTGAGGATTCTCTAGAAGTCACAGTTTTTATCTGTTTTTAAAAACCGTTTAAATATATCACCATTCCACCATAATGAAGGTTGATTTCGAATTTTGGAAAAATCGAAATGAAACTGCCCGACAAAATGGACGCTCTTTGTACGCAAATTGTGTTTAAGTATGTAATGTGAAGGTTGTGGACCCTCTAGAGGTCACAATTTTTATCCGATTTTGATGAAACTTAAAATATATCTTTATATCCCAAAGATCTCAATCCCTTTCAATATTTGCATATTTCAGACCATAATTTCTTTGATTATAGCCCCTGATTGTACAAAAAATCGCCTTTGTTTTTAGCGTGTTCTCTATCCATATCTTGCAAAATGTGAGCGTATGTTGCCTGGCAACCGCTGGTTTAAAATCAACATTTTTCAGTAACTTACTGAGTTATTCCCCATTGATACAAACTCTTGCTGACATGACTGTAGATGCTTCAATTATGATGCAATCTTTCAAGACTTTTTTTTATTGTCTTAAGGTATATTGAAAAGGTTAGTAGGTTTCACTTACTATATGATCCAATCTTTGTGAATTTTATTAAATATTATAAGTGTTTTCTTATTTAATTCCAGGCGCCTTCGTTTACAAGAAACAATGATAGACGAAGATGAATCTTCAGAAGATGTTGATACAAATAAAACAGTTGCCCAAACACATTGATAATACTCTAAAGCAATACAGGAAAATAAAATACTATGTAAATTGCTTCAAGATATTGAGTGAATTTGTTAGCAAGATTTTTGCATGCAAATAAATTATGCCTTGTCTTTCAAAAGATGATTGTGTGCCTATAAAAAGAAACCTTCCTATTCTCCCATTTACAGGGTAAATCAAGATTGTGAGGACAGTGCAGTGGCATATAGAGTTTTGTTTTAAAGTTATTACATGTTCATACATTATGTCCTAAATGGTCCTAATGGTTTAAAGATATAACCTATGGAACCAGTCTTTTGACTGTGCAAGATGTTGGGTTATCTGCTTAACTGCATGTGTTTTTTTTACAATTTCTTGCCTCTGCTAATTAGACCTATGTGCATTCAATTAGTGAAATATATGCAGATATTTTCAATGCTAGTCCAGATGCTTATCACCATTTTTCTCTTAGCTAACATCAATTACTTAACTATCAATATTTTATTTGAACAAGTCTATTATCCCCCAGTTCACTACAATTATGCAACTTATTCTTTACTTCATAATAACACAACTTCATGGATTTACTACTTCTTAGTTTATTACATGCAACGTTTCAATACTCTTACAGGTATCTTTATCAAGAAATGATCAATAATGAATAACAACCTACATTTATAGTACATCCATGAGTAAGACAGAAAAAACATAACATTAATTAAGAGTTATAACAACAACATTTCCCTTTGAAATTATTATTCTTTACTTCATTGAAGTGACCTTTAAGTTTGGTTTGGTTAAATCTACTGCATGATCTATTTAAGTATTTCATACATTCTGATGAATTATGGAAGACTTTTCACCCAATGGCTGCTAAATTTATATTTTAACACTGTTTTCTACTGTACCTTAATTTTCGTCAACTGTTTTTCGTATTTGTTCAGTTGTTTATTAAGGATCAGTGCATGCAACGATTTTGTTTGTTTGTTTTTTTTTAAATCATAAATCATTATTTCACTGATGTAATGGCTAAAAAAAGGTCTTGCATGACCTAGTTTTATTTATGTATTTTCTTAATGCTGTAATTAGTCACTATGGCCAAGATTTGGGTGGCAGTACAAATTAAATTGTGGGTCACTGGATGATATTAAGAATATCATTTTTGAATGATATTTAATTCAAGGGAAGACCAGTGAGAATTCTATATATTTGCCTAAGGAATTTTGTGTATGAATAGAAATAATTGTATCCTATTGTTAAAGGTTTAGTAAGGTATGTCAATATAAATGCAATAAAATTATATAACATACTGGTAGGTTGAAATTCAGTTTTAAACTAAGAAATGAATGTCATGGCTGTGCAATTTTGTTGTGATTTGTTTTAATTGTTTGAATATTCAACAAAATTAAAATATTGATTGTGTCATGTCAGTATTTTTTTTAAAAAAAGGCATTAACAGACTAAAATTACATTAGAATTATATAAAACAAAATATCTTGACTTAGTGTAATTGGTCAATTTTTAGGGATTGTGTTAAATTACATGTATGTAACTAAAGAAAATTATTAATTTGTGTAATCTCTGTCTTTATTATACATGTGTATTGGATTAATAAACAAAAAGTAGCTCTACACAATTTTTGACAAGTATAAATTTATTTTAATTTACGGTCATTGTGTGATAAAATGGCTTAAAATATCATGACAAGAAAGTTATTTTTGTTACATTTGTATAGATTTCATTTAATATAATGTAATTATATAATTTGTTATGTTTTTTTTGTTGAATTGTATAATTTTGTATAGCTGTCAATAATTTATTAATTTATTTGTTAGGAAACCGTATGCATGCATTATTATTGTTATTAATTCATCTGTGATATACATTGTACAAAACATACATCATATTATCATATTTTTGTAAGCATTGTTTGATCATACTTTTGTAAGCAATAAAAGAATAAACCGATATCAACATTTTACAAGCATATTCATTATCAATTAAATGATTGTTCTCCTATTAAAGATATCCAGATCCCCTATGGCTATTAGTAATTTATTACCGGTATATATTTTAGAGCAAAAACTTATCATCAACACTATTCTGCCAAGCAGAGTCATACTAATCCTACCCTATGGTCATATTTTGGAGAAAACAAAAATCCAGGTAGAAATATACAAGTGAAAATGAAATGAAATAAAATGGGGGTTTAACGTCCTGCTCCAACTGGGCTAATGAAGACAAGCATAAGTCATACAGTGTGCTATGAGGGAAATTTTGCCCACGTAGCGGCATTATGGCTTACTCTTATATCAAATTCAAACTGCCAAGGGATCTTTTATGTGCACGCCAATGTACATGTATACACGGGACACCTGTTTTTTGTCCCATCTGAATGACTAGACATCTATCCATGTCAGACCCTCCTTCCTGCACCACTGACAATGGGAAACCACGTCGGAAAAACCTGATGAATCTCGGCCAGTGCAAGGATCGAACACGCAACCTCCAGGCTAGTGAGCCAGCGTCTTTCCCACCGTGGCTCCCATACAACGGAAAGAAAATAGTACAAAGACCTTTTTATGTTGATTCTGTGGTGTTGAGTGTAAATGTATGTGCTGTGTTTGTAAATGGCTTGTAAATTAAACGGGGAATAAGAGCTGGAACTTGTGCTCAAGTTGTATTCTTGATTCTACTATGCAATAAGAGGAATAATCACTAATTTCTGAACAGGGATTTGTGAGAAATATTCCCTTTTCTTCCCTTTTGCAGTGTTTGTAAACACATGCACAATTCTCTCTATGTGAATTTCAGTGAGTTCTTGCTTACCATCATCTACATGCTACATGTATCTTAGGGGACTTTCTCAGCAAACAAAACATTTATAATACATTGTTTGTGATGTGCAACTTGAGATGGGGTGATCAAGACTTAAATTCATTAATTCCTGGAGTTTGGGCCTATTATTACAAAATGTTACTGTAGCTGTAGTTCAATAACCTGCATATGAAAGTGTCATTTCAATTATTTATTATACTCCATACATAGTGCAGGGGCGTCGTGCAAAAAATTTTTTTAGGGGCGCCCAACTTTCTGCAAGTGTGTTCATGGTAAATTAAATTTACTGGCTGCGCAGAGTGTTGGCGGCACGCCGCCCACATCGAATGTCGCAGGCATGAGCATGCAAGGGGGGTACGGGGGGCCCTCCCCCAGAAAATTTTTAAAATTAGAAGCCGGCAAACGCCATTTCCATGGATTAGAGACAATAAAGTTATGATTGAAAAATGGCCGTTTTTTTACTGAATTTTTAGTGATAATGTAATTTATCACTCGAAAACTGAATTATATTTTATTCATCTCAACTTCGATTTAATTATTGAATGGACATTTCGAACAACTATATGCATGGTCAAATACATTGTATTTTAATAAAAATTACTTTCAGTCTTTATTTTTGACACCCGTACCGTATATGGATATTTTATCAAATACAACATACAATCATAAATAGGGATTTACACAACAAGCACAAAATCAACTCTGTAGACCCACGGATGGCTTGGATTTAAACAGTATTTCATTGATTGATTAAATTTTTAAATGGCATCGTGAGCAGAGATTAAACGTTACGTTAACGTCATACTCCCGGAAATTTTAGATCGGGGCTAAATGATAGAGTGTACGAGGCGAGGCCGCTGTAGGCCTTAACAAATGATATCTAAACTAAAGTGCAATGAACTAAACACAGACCATGTGATGACTAAAACAGACGGACAGGTCTTCTGTCTTAATAATATCAATAAAAATATTTTTATTTCCCTGAGGGCCCCCCCGGGCCCCAATGGGCACGACGCCACTGACATAATGTGTAATAACATGATCACAGACAAGGTTTGTATTTCATAAATAGACACAATATCACATTAACATTAGTTTTATAAGTAAAGACACAACATAAACATTCAAACTATTGCCTAAACATCGGTAAAGTTGAATACGATTAAGATTTGATGGAAAATCAAAGTCATTTGGAAAGCACAAGAGATTTGCAACTTCTCTTGGAGTAAAGTATCTGAGTTTTAGTCTTCTGATGATTTCCATCTCCTCATCCTGCCAAAACTCCCGTGAATTCTTGGAAACAGTTTTGCTCTTTAATTCACATGCATCCTTAAACTCTAATACATTATTAGACATTTGTATAATAGGCCCTGCTCCATTAATATAATGTCCATATCTTTTCGTAAAACACATTGTTTTTTTAAGACCTGGGTGAACAATGTCCATTATAATAAACCACTTTAAGTTCTTTTCCTCAACTAAATAATCTTGAAAATAGTCGGTACTCTTTTTTTCTAGAAAATGTACTAATTTAAGACATTTATCAGAGATGACATGATCTTCAAGTTCTTCTTGATGAATGTTTTGTTCACAGTTCTCTAAAGGTTGCCATTTTGATTCACATTCCACTGAGATATTTGTTCGAAGATCCTTTTCATTTTCATGGTTGTATGCTAACCAGTCGTCTGGACAATTTGGAATCTCTGTAATTGGCATGTCCGTAACTTCAAAATTAAAACATTTTGACTTTGCAATTAAGTAATATCTTAAACGACAGTTTGGGATCCCAAACTGCAAAGGTGTTAACAGAAACTCCTGAAAATAGTAGCTATTTGCTTGCAATGTGTTGATCAAACACTGTCTTGCTTCACTTAGTTCAAATCCCTTTACATTTTCAACTAGTATATTTTGCGGTTTATTTGTAGCTTTGTCAATGAGATCTAATACATGAAGAAATGACTGAGTTCTAATATCACAGACATCTTTCTTATTACCAATTCTTGTGAAGGGTTGACAAGGTGGGCTCATTAAAATTATGTCAATATTCCACTTCTCGAATTGTTGGAGCGTTATTTTCTCAATACCAACTGACTTCAATTCTACCCTTTGAATATTATGTCGATAAATTTCATTAGCAGTGGTATTGATGTCTATTGCAGTTACAACCTTAAAATTCACTCCACTTTGTTTTAAGGCATAATGCATGCCACCAATTCCACTATATAATTCCAAAACACGAAACTCGTGAAGTTCGATGGGGGCTGCCATATTGGACAAACTACTTCCGGTAACTCATGTCGGGATAAGACCACTAATTATTACCCCGAATTATTACAGGATTTTTTGTCCCCCGCCTTACGAGAGAGAGAGAGAGAGAGATAAAAAGAGAGATATGGGGTTTAACGTCCACTCGACACAAACTAGGTCATTTCGGGACTAACATGTGGTATTCGCTTGCGCGTAGGGGTCTTTAGCAGTGGGTGGAAACCGGAGGACCCGGAGAAAAACTACGAGGTTGGACAGGCGACCCTACTCCTTGCCACGTACAATCGGGGATTCTAAACCACGCCAGTCGACTCAATGACAGACTTTATGATACAGCGCGCGCACGCTAACCATTCAGCCATCCACCCCTCCTGCCTTACGAAGAAAGCAGGATCTATTAAAATGACAGGGCTGGGGTAATGGTAATGGTAATGGAATGTAATCATTACAATTTTTTAAGTAATGGCCATGTAATGAGTAATGCAAATGTAATTAATTACAATCAATCAGTCAGTTAGATTAAAAGACAATAAATAGTTTTAGTACACTTAATCTTAATCTCAAGGTAACAAGTGGCAAACCAAACAATGATCTCCAAGTATCTCATCATTTTATGGTTACTTAAAACTAATATATATTTTGTTTTCGAGTCATGCCGAATAATTTACCAGTTATTATACAATATATTATAGACAAACTATTTGGATTGATTAAAAATTTAAAAATAAAATTACTTAAAAGAAAATACAATTAATTAACTATACTTTTGATTCATTTTTCAAGTTATACAGAGAAAATGTCAGTTTTTGTCACCACTGTCCGTCACAATAAAATTGGCCTTGATGTTATAATTGCTAGAAATAATAATTCATAAACAAATATCTACTAAGTGAATCTAGGATTATTTTGAGTTTGATTTTGTAATGGGTAACTAATTACATTGCTAAAAATAAGAAAGCTGGTAATTGTAATGATTACATTTAAAAAGTAATGGTAATGTAATTCATTACATTGGCAATGTAATGACCCCAGCCCGGTAAAATGGAACTGTCCGTCTGTCTGTCTCTCCGCCCGTCACACTTTTTGGGGACACAATAAATTTCCCAAACTGCACGCAGCGATACTTCTACGTCATACTTCGAGATTACGATCACTGTCCCAGTTAGACTCCATTTAAAACGCTCACGTGATCATTTTGGGGCGGGACTTATGGACGGGACTACTGTACCGCTTTGTGTACACAACAGAGTAAAAATAACTTTAAAAAGCACATGTATTATGTAAACGCGTGTCATTCGTAAATTGTCAACTTCTGCAGATTAAAAGCGGTATATAATAAAATGTGCTAGTGGGTAATATACAATACATTCTTTGCCATTGTAAACTGTCTTTAGAGTTTCAATCTGTTTATCTTTCAAAACAAGGTTAGATACTCCTAAATTTGTCTTCGCAAACACAACCGCCTCTGTGAAATTATTTTTCAAGGGCGCCGCCACCTGTTCTCAGGCGGAGCTAGCTGTAGACAGGCAGCCTAAGTTTGGGATGTAAATTTCCTTATAATTGGTGTAGGGGTTTCTTAGGTGAATACCGCGATGGAGTTCGAAGATGAGCATTTTCTGCGAAGGGTAAGCAGAGATAAACAATTTGATGCTTTGGGGCACGATAACTTTAGTTCTAATCGAGAAAGAGAGTGATGAAACTTGGTGTATAGTTTCATTACATCAATATCTTGACTAAGTTCGATACCGAGCATTAAAACTCTTTTGCTCTGGGTAAGCAGAGCGATAAGCAATTTGATTGGTCGAGACTTTGGAACACTATAACTCTCCTTCTAATTGATGTAGAATGTTCAAACTTGGTGTAGGGGTTCATTAGGTGACACTCGACAAACCTCAGCAGATTCCAGTACCCTATCTAGATGTAAAGTAACGGAATCTGCCGAGGTTTGCCGAGTGTATTAAGTGAAGGCCTTGATGGAGTTCGATCATGCGCATTTTCCGCTTAGGCTAAACAGAGATACGCAATTTGATTGGTTGAGAGCGATGAAATTCCGAGTATAGATTCATTATATCAATACCTTGACTAAGTTCGATCATGAGGATTTTCTGTTTTGGCTAATAAGCAAATTAATTGGTCGAGACTTTAGAACGTAACGACCCTGCTTTTAATAGAGGTAGAATGTTTAAGAGAGAGAGAGGGGGGGGGGTAACGTCCACTCGACACACAAAGTAGGTAATTTCAGGACTAACATATGGTTCAATTTTATTTCAATAATTCGCTTGCGTGTAGGAGTCTTTAGCAGTGGGGGAAACCGGAGGACCCTGAGAAAACCCAGTTGACTCAATGACCAACCTTATGATACAGCGCCAACACGCTAACCATCCACAACCCCAAGAATGTTTAAACTTGATGTAAATCTTCATTAGGTGAATGAATATCCTGACTGAGTTAAATGATTGCCATTTCCCACTAAAGCTAAGCAGAGCTAAGCAATTTCACTGGTTGGTACTTTGGGACAAGATAACTTTGATTCTAACTGATGGAGAGTGATGAAACTGAATGCATAGTTTCACTACCAAGTCATTCAACACCTTGACTGAGTTTGACCGTGATCATTTTATGCTTAGACTAAGTATAGGTAATAACCAGTTTGATTGCTCAATACTTTTGAAAACGATAAATGTGCAATTAATTAATATGTGTCATCTTTTTATTTTGGGATTTCGGCGGAGGACATCAGCCTCACTACAAGTACTTGGCTTGTAAAAGGGACAATAACACTCTTGCTGGCTTGACAGCTCCATAAAATAAAAATAGCCTTATTCTAAGTACTAGATGTGTTAGTGTCCTACCTGTTGTGTAAATTATCCATTAAATCCTATTTTACTTGTCCAGAGGGTTCAAAAATATTTTTAAATCCAAGTCACATTTGAAAAGCTTTACGTCAGGCTTTTCAAATCATTTAGTTGAATTTTTCCAATTTTTTAAATAACGTGTGTCAAGATGAAATTTATATCATCAATTAATTGGAATATTGTAAAATAGTACAATTTGTTGACCAGAATAAAGTTTGGGACATATTATTCAGTTACAACAAGAGTGGTATTGAGCCTTTAACAAATATTACAATATAACCTATAGTCCCGCGCCTATAATACTCATGGGGCCTTCTTGAAAATATTAAAGTAGCCAAGTCTCTAACTCAGTATCATCCAAAGTTTTCGACATTGAAAACACGAATTATTGTCAATTTAAATCAACATTGATGTTGTGATCTTACCGGGAAAGATGGCCTTCTGATATCCAACATTTAAGACAAAATAAACCATAATGCGTTTCAGCGCTATTTGTAACAATGGACTCGAAGAACGAGACTAGACATATTCCACAAGTCATGTCAAACGGTGACAACATATTCTTATCTGGAGAGCATACGCAATAAATACTATTGGTTTAGACTGGAATAACCAGATGCTAGAGGCTGCCATTCGAGTGAGACTTCTGGCGTATTTCGCCTAACTTAACTGATTTGAAATTAGAGTAAAAACGGAAACGATTGAATGTAAATCAGTTTATATACATTCATATTACATTATTATATGCATTGCGACCCATTTGTTTCAATTTCTAGGTCCCAAATATTAGCGATTTAGCTCCTTTAATATTGTAAGAATGCAGCCTTTTCATTGGCTAGGTCGGGCTAAAGTATACACCAAGATTCAGAATGGGCAGGCTGCAGATAGTTTAGCTTAATTTTTTTTAATAAGGACCCTGGTTCAGATTAGCTCTGTTGCGGTTTCTACTTTAAGTGATAAAAAATGCCAATGCTAAGGAAGTTAAACCTACAAATGAAACTATGAGTTATGTGGTCTTAATCCGTCAATTCAAGACCAATTACCATACGCATGGCTCGCACAAAATCTAGGATCCAGCCGTATGCGAAACACCTGCTACACATTAACATTATATCTACAAGTTTTATGTCTGGAGTGAAGCTAGAGATAATATTTATGCTCTTTTAAAATAGTCCATCATTATTCACACTTTATTCAAATTTAACAGTCATATGTTAATCTACAGGAGGCAAATCTTTAAGTCAATATCATTCACAGTCTTCGACAATGCAAACAAGACTCACTGGTCCATTTAAATCAATATTGATGTTCTTATCTTACCGTGAAAAGATGGGGCTTCTGCCATACAATTTGGACTCTTTGCGTATTTAGCCGACCATACTGATTAGAAATTACAGTAAAATTAGAAATGATTGAATGTAAAACGATTGAATGTAAATCAGTTTATATACATTCATATTACGTTATTATATGCGTTGCGACCTATTTGTGTCCATTTCTAGGTTCCAAAGAATAAGGATTTAGCTCCCTTAAACTCTTTATCGATTATAGATTGGTTTAATGGATGTGTCAACCTGGGACACATGAGTAAAAACAATGACGTATATTTTTTTTTCTCCAAATAATAGAAACCCATCTTCGCATCTACTAAAAAAATATATTTTTGTCTAAATCCGGGGGAAAATGATTGGGTTCGGGAACAATGAATCAAGATAGTTTCATTTCCTCATTATACAAACATGAGGTTATCCACAACGTCTTGGTCGAAAAAGCTTCTCTGATCAGCTTTACAAAGCACATGGACAACCATCATCTCTTAAAATCATACCAGAGCGCATATCGTAAAAATTATATGTACAGAAACATTAATCCTTAAAATATATAACGATATCTTACACAATATGGAACATCAATTATTATCCCCTTTTGTTGCCATAGATCTTAGTGCCGCGTTTGATACTGTGAACCATGAACTGTTGCTTGAAATCCTTCAAAAATGCTTTGGCGTTTGTGAAACCGCACACGAATGGGTAGCTTTCTATCTCTCTGGTAGAAGCTTTAATGTTAATATCAATCAACCTAATTCGACACCAGTCGATATAAATTTTTCTGTTCCTCAAGGTAGTATAAACGGTCCAGTTTTCTTCACATGT